TAGCAGGAAGCTCTCCGCACACTCACTGGACCTGGGCTAGGACTGGGTCTGCCATTCTCCTTTTTCCTAAAATCTCTTTTTTCCTGACTTACAAAATATTATAAATCTGGCTCAGCTTTTATTATTATCTATATTTTCTTTCCTTTCATATGTAGTTTGGATTCTGATATAAGAGAAACTGCAATATTGAAGCATGAATTTCTGATTTAGGTCACTCAATCTTGTGCTCCTGAAGTACATACATTTTCCCACAAAGGACTCTGGCTCTTTCCTGTTTATGGGAGCATAGTACTTTGTTGTGCATAAACACCACATTTTACTTATCCATCGGTTGATGTCCATATAAGCTCCTTGCAAAATTTAGCTACTGTCAACTTTGCTCCTATAAGCATGGGTATGCTCCTATCACTGTCTTATGATGTCTTAATTCTCATAGGAAGAAACCTAGAAGGAAATATATTAGTCCAGCATAAATTTTTGATAGTTTCAAAATTATCCCCATGTTGACTTCCGTAGTGATTGCACTTGACTGCACTCATACAAACAAGGAATAAGTGTTCCCTTTCCCCAAAGGATCTCCAGGATTTTCTTTGTCATTTTGACAGGATAACCACTGTTTCTAGAGTCAGATGAAATTTCAGTGTATACTTAATTCGCAATTATTGAATGTCTAGCAGCACCGATCTTTTTTCTCCTGTATATGTTAGACAATCCTCTTTTCTCATCTGAGAAATGTCATTCATTTCAGAACCCAGTTTCTCAATTGGGTCCTGTTATTTGGAGAACGTGTATTTTCTGTTTATGACTATTCCCGATATTAATCCTATTTCTGGGGAATAGCTAGAAGTCTCCTTTCGCATTCTGTAGATTATCTCTTCATGATGCTGTGTGTTGCCCTTGCTGCGCAGAGCTTTTTCATTAGATATGATCCTATTTGTTGATTCTGTGTATTATGACCTGTGCATCTGGGGTTCTGCTCACAAACTCCTTGGTGATGCCTGGGTCTACCATTTTGACTCTTCCAGCTGATTGTTTCGGTTTTACCATGTAGATTGCTGAGATAGTTTTCTTTTAGTTCAGGGCATGGTTAGCAGTATGGGTCTAGGTTCAGGCTTTGCCTTGTGGAGAGGTGGTTTTCTGAACACCATTTGACAAAGAGGTGACATTTCCTGTAGAATTTGGCCCCTTGTCAAGGATAAGATGCTTGAACTTGGTTGGTGTTGTTGCTGTATGTTTGTTCTCCTGGATGCATCCAAAGAGGGTGTAAGGCCAGCATGATACTGTTTTATTATTGCAGATTGTACTTTAATTTGAGGTCAAGGATTGTGATACTTCTGACCTTGCACTGTGCCTAGTATTGCTTTTAATGTTCCAAGTCTCTTCTGGTTCCATGTAATTCACCCTGCAAATTGTTTTCACGTTCCTACCTTCCCACTACTACAACCTCTTCTGTCATTCTTGTTGGAGCATGCTATTTATATTTACATATAATTTATCTTTATATGTATGCCATAATTAAAGGTTTGCTTTGCCAGTCAGAAGAAGCAGTGTGGAATCGGAAATAGTGTGTTTGACTTAGTTCCCTTCAGATACAGTCTCCAGGTGCTCACATTAACCTAAAAATGTCTTTGGTTTATACTCATTTTGCACAGAGCATTCTGTGCTGTATATCAGCATCACGTCTTCTGTAATCTGAGTGTGCTGATGCAGTATTGCTGGGCTGTAGAGAAGGCAGCCACAAGGCAGTAAAGAGAGAGCCCTGGACCTCACCATTTATCGTGATAAAGATGGAAGAGCATCCTCTCCTGAGGCACAGGGCCCCGCTGAATTTGTGAATGCCTGATTTTGCCCAGCGACTCATGAGGCCCTAGATGGCGGCAATGCATTGGGTTTATTCCCTGTCAGGGGAGAGACATTTGTCTTTTTCTGAGACTTTGTTCAAGCTAGCACAAGACTGGGATGCAGGCTCTGCTGAATGCCATTCGAGTGAGCTGGGACAGCAGGGAGGCAGTCTTTCACTCGGTACTCTGTGTCATTCACAAGTCATGGCTTCCCCCACTAGGAAAACTGGGGTGAAAGGACTATGCTTGCATTCTTCACACAGAGATCTGCTGAATCTCCTGCAGCAGCTCCAGGAGCCAGGGATGAGGCACTTGTTGGACAGTATCCTCAGCTCACACAGCCATATCAGTACAGGCAGTGTCAGCAGTGGGGGTGTGGTGTATGGCCTGAAGTGGAGAGGAATTTTCCCATGCCAGAAAGGACACATCCTTTTCCGCAGGTCTCCTACACCATATTGTCTTCCCAGTGTCTTGTCCTATGAGTTAAACTGAAGCCTGAAAAGCAGCCTCATTCCACATTCCAGTATCACTAGGATGAAACAGTGTGAAGCAGAGAGCATCCCCCAAAGACAACAAGGGTTGCTCTCTGTGGGAGGCAATGTGTGGTGACTCTCAGCTAAAATAACTAATAGTCTCCCTCTCTCCTGCAGGCCAGAGTCCTCAACGTAAACTCTCATCATCCAATTGGACAACCATGATGCCCCATGGTCAGAAGAGCCAAGACAGCCTGCAGGAGGAAGAAGGCCATCCTGGACATAGAAGTGCACGAGTCTTCCCAGGTGCCCAGGCCCTCAATGATGAGGAAACTGCTGCCACCACTTCTTCCTCTGCATCCTCTTGCTCCTTCACTTTCACTGTGGCCACAGGAAGAGAGCAACCTGGGCCTGGGAGCACAAGTGGTCCTCTCAATCCCGAGGGACTCTTTGCTCTCTCCAGTGTCATGGCTTCCAGTGAAAGGAAGCAATATAGTGAGGGGTCCAGCAGTCAGCAAGTGGAGGGTCCAAGTCTGTCCCAGGACAAGGATGCCACTCAGATCAGGAAGGATGCAATGAAAAATGATGAGCTAGATACCATCCTGAGATTTCTACTCCAGAAATATCAAAAGAAAGAGCAGATCACCATGGGAGAGTTGGAGCACATGGTGGCCCACAATTCCCCTGAGCAGTTCCATGTGAACTTCGCAGAAATTTGTGAGTGTATGCACCTGGGATTGGGCATTATTGTAAGGGAAGTGGGTTCTCCTGGCCACACATATGAGCTTGTCCCTGCCTTGGGACTCACTTATAATGGGGTACTGGATGATGCTGACCAGATTATTCCTAAAGCTGATCTCCTGATACTTATCCTCAGTACAATCTTCTTAATGGGCAACAGAGTCAGTGAAGAGCAACTTAGGGACATTCTGAGACATAGGAAGGTATTAGCTGAGAGATCTCACATTGCTGTTGGGGACCCCTGGAAATTCATCAGAGAAGATTTAGTACGGGCTGAGTACCTGGTGTACCAGCAGGTTCACAACAGTGTTCCTGCTCGCTGTGAATTCTTGTTGGGTCCGAGGGCCCTAGCTGAAACTACCAAGATGAAAGTACTAAATCATGTAATCATGCTGGCTGAGAAAGATCCCGGGTCTTGCCCATATCTCTATGAGCAGGCTATGAGAGAACACGATGGTAATTTCAGTGCCTCTGTAGGGCAGGATGATTGGCCGTGATAGGGTATGTTCCCCAGAAAGTCACAGGCATAATTCCTAGCCCAGTGATATGAGACCCAATTTCCAGCTGGGCTTCTGGAGAGGAGGCAGTTTTGTAAGCACTGAAGGGGCAGGCAGGGCCTAAAATACCATGCTTAACATCTGGAAGTCTCTCCTTTTTGTATTACCTGTAGATGCAGTAGTGACTTATTTGTAAAGCTTTGATCACCTGGTCTTCCAGGGTCCAAAGTAACTTGAAACGCTGAATAGCAAGATCATTTTGATCTCACATGTACTGCAATTAATTCATATCGTTGGCTAATTGTGAAATTTGATGTGAACATCATTGTTCAACATGGATCATAAATGCATTTTGCTACTGCATTTCAGGAGTATGAGTTTTTCCTATTTTCTCAAACCAGGGAAAAAACTTTTCACTTGCTTTATGCTCAAATAAAATTAGCATAGAAATTTTGTTGTTTATATATAAAATGTTCACATGTATTTAGCTGAACCCCAGCAATACATATACAATAAAATCAATTCCGTTATTTTTGTGTTTTTCATTGTCTATATTTTAAAAATATTTGTGTGCTTGAATTTGTTTGGTTTCTTGAATCATATTTCAACACTTATTTTAATAACTCTTCAATAGTTCATAATAGTAGTGAGTTATCAGCACAAATGGCAATTGTCAGAAGTTGTTGACTTGAGCATTTTACAGCTCAGCATACTAACATAATTTTACTTTTTATACTTTGTGGTTATCCTTTTCTTCTCAATGAACTGAGATCCATCCTCTCTGATGGATGGTTAAGACCAAATTAAAGTAAGACCTATATAATCAAAAATGGAATTTTTGCTATCTGATAAGGACACTTAAATCCCTTCAGGATTTACCATGGTACCATGTACAGAACCTTGTGGGTCTTTTGTCAGTGTCAGCTGCTGAGATCATTCATGGCCATTGTTTGAACAATTTGCTCTCTGTGAAAGCCTGAGAGAATGTTTTCTATATTGGGTTGTTTTTCTGAATTCAGGCACCAACAATATCTGGACTAGCATCAAGTATGAAAATGTTCTTTAAAGACTTCTCCAAATTCAGCTTCTGTAACAGCAATGGAACACCCATCTCTGACAAAACAATAGGAAAACAGGGAATATAAATAAAGACCATTTTATAGTGAAAAAATATATGTGTATAAAAAATAGAATAGATACACAGCTACTTTCTCTTAGCTCAATGAGAAGAAAGGATTGTACTAATATTGTTTAGAGAAGATATCATGTCTACATCTTGTCCTCTGAATAACTACTATGAAGACAACAATATGCAATGTAATAATTATTGTAACTCTCTTACTAACCTGTTTGGAAAATATTTCATTGCTATTTTATCTATATGATATCTTGTCTAAATAATATTAGCACAAACCTTTCTTCTCAATGAACTAATAGAAGGTAGCTGTATGTCTATCCTATTTTTTATATACATATATTTTTTATAACTATGAAATGGTTCCTAGTTTTTATTTATACTTAGATGATGGGTTGTAAGTAAACTAATATTTGGTTATGAAATAGGAAATTACCTAACAAGCTACACATATGTACATGTGTGTCCAAATTCTCTGGTTGGACTGCAAAGTCAGCTGGGGGGTACATGTGACTTTTTTTGAAGCATAATAATAAACGTTTTTTAACTTTCCACTCTACATTATAAAATAAAGCACATTATCCTTACTAAATGATATGGTGATTTTCATAAACCTTAAGAGATTAAGAATTTCTACAAACCATTTTTCAAAATATTCCATTGTACATTGCTATAAAATAGACTCCTAATGTTAAATGTTTCTTAGCTTCCCACAAAGGAAATCTTTATCAACCAGGAAACATATGTTAGTAAAAATCAATTTACCATAAATACTTGACTCAATTTCCTAGGTTCAATTATAGAATGACAAATATGAAAAAATCTTCTGAAAACAAATACAAGTTATATATGGTTTGCTGATTTCTGCTATAATTTTATATATTTGAAAAAGCATACCATGTTATAGCATTTTTCCTTATAGTATTTGTCTAGTTCAAATAATAAAATACTTTGACTTCTGTAATAGAAGTAAATAATAGAACAATAAAGTCTACAGTATGTATTTAGTCCTGTTTAGGCAGTTCATGGTGTCAGATGATATATTTTACTTTAATTATTTCTAGCAGGCAATACAGTGGAAAATTCATATTACAGATTTATTCTTACTTAAAAATTACAACTTCAAATCATATGATTTTTTAAAATTATAGACAAAGAAAGAATAGTCTTTGACAGGTACATACTTTTTTATCAGGGTCTGCACTTCTAAAGGCATTTCTATCTCTTTTGCCTTTTTAGAGTACAACATCTTCATTAGTGTTTTAAGTTGAAACTTTTGCCTCTTTAGTTCAATAGCTTTGCACACTAAATTGAAATTTTAATAAATTCTGTTTAAGAATTACTTGTGAGTACACACATGATTCTCAAATTCTCACCACCTCCACACATTTCCCTCTTTTATGGAACTTGAGAATATAGGAGATATAAATAAAAATGTAAATAATTTTGACTTTTATAAAGGCGATATATACTTTTGAAAGTGAGAAATTGTTGATGCTTTACTGCAGCTCTTATTCAGTGGAGTGAAATTATACACTTATAAATTTTATTCTGCAGATCATTTTTCCATAATTTTATTGAGAAATAAATAGCAATGAGACATTTTCAAATAAAATTGGTACGACAGTTCCAATAATTAACACATTACATACTCTCTTCCTAGTGGTTATTTGATGTACAAGATGCGGACATGATATCCTATTTACAAACACTATTAGAACAAATTCCTCTATTCATTGAATTAAGACAATGTAGCTATATATCTATCTTAGCCATTTTGAATACACAGATACAAAATGGTCATTAGTCTGTATCCCCTTTTTTTGTTTAGTTCTGTTATTTAAATATTATAGGTGTGTGAACTCAGCAAAATATTCCAAAATAGCCCAGTAGTCCATAATAGTATTGGGTATCCAACCCTAGCCCAGGCCCGGAGAGTGTGTGGGAGAGCTTCCAGCTACCCTGCACCAGGAGACCTGTCCGGTCCAGACTCAGGTGCAGCGTGAGTGAGACCCTCTTCCATGCCCTTGGGATCCCCACCACCACCTCTCTACAGCGTCTCCTCAAGCCCGCCCAGTCAGTGAGAACTTCTGCCGCACTCTCGGGATCCCCAGATCCAGTCCTAGCCCAGGTTTGGTGAGTGTGGGAGAGCTTCAGGATACCCTGGGCCCACGAGAGATGTCCAGTCCAAACCCAGGCACAGCATGAGGGAGACACTCTTCAGGTCTCTTGGGATCTCCCCACATTCTGCAGCCCCCCACTACGCCCACCAAGTGAGTGAGAACTTCTGCTGCGTGCTCGGGATCCCCAGATCCAGCTCTAGCCCAGGCCCGGCAAGTGTGTGGGAGAGCATCCCCTTTCCCCTACTCCCCCTTGCTCTTTCAGACTCAACTCAGGCCTGGCATACAGGCTTAGGGTGAAACCCTGCAGCTGCAGTCCTTGCAGAGAGAGTAGGGGACAGAACCACCCAGCTAGTCCAGGAGCAGAACATCTTGCCAGAAGAGCACAACAGGTTCACTCCCAAGGGCAGCAGCAGGAAGGAGGTGAGCACAGCAGCCAGACCAAAGCCAGGCACAGCTGGACAAATCCAAACTTTGTAGATCTGCACCTGAATTTCAGTAGATGCTCCTGGACTAGCTGGTTGGATCTATCCTCTACACTCTCTGCAGGGATTGCAGCTGCAGGATTACACCTCAGGCGTGTATGCCAGGCCTGAGCTGTGCCTGGAGGGGGCAAGGTGAAGTAGGGGGAAGAGGAAGCTCCACACACTCACCGGGGGAGGCACTGCGGAGTGGTGGGGGGCGGCCCAAGGGCCTGGGAGAGGGTCTGGCCCACGCTGCATCTGGGCTGGGACTGATCCCGCCAGCGCAGTGTAGCAGGAAGCTCTCTGCACACTCACCGGACCTGGGATTAGGACTGGGTCTGGGGGCTCCCGGAACTCGGCATAAATTCCTACTCGGCGGGCGGGGTGGGGAGGTACCGCGGAGTGGTCGTGGGCGGCCCAAGGGTCTGGGAGAGGGTCCGGTCCAAGCTGCGCCTGGGCTGGGACTGGTCCTTCCGGTGCAGGGTAGCAGGAAGCTCTCTGCACACTCACCGGACCTGGGCTAGAACTCTGGATATATTTATTGAAGAAAAGAAATTGGGAATAGGAATGGAGGAATGGAGATTAGGAACTGCCTCTTAGAGCCAGGAGTGGTGCCGAAGGAGTTGCCCATGAGAACATCTCTCAAAGGAAGTTTCCTGGAGCAAAATCATGCAGTGAGCCATACATGGTTGACAGTAGGAAAATATATAAAATTTCGAGCAGATTCAATTATCCAAGCTTACATAACTGCTCAGGGAATTATGATCATTGACTGGAGACCATTTTTATACCTAGTTGTTTTTGCTATAGTATTGTTTTATGCATCAATTGGTTACACTTTTAGGATTGGTATGTAAGACCAAATTGTCCCGAGGCATTTGTACATCAATAATAACCTCCCACTGTCTATCATGGCCAATCAAGTCACCTCAGGCATTACTTTGGCACCATATACAGATCCTCTCCTCTCATCTGTCAGTGCCAGCGATCAGCGTGGTTCATGGCCTGGCTTGATCATGCTGCTTTCTGTGAAACCATGAGAGAATTTTCCTCTTTTTGGCCCCCCTGGAGTGCATTATGCACTTACTAATTCTTGTCTTCTGGAGTCTTGCAATCTCCCTGCTCAAGAGGTTAGGTCTCTCAACAAAGTTGTAAGATCATGTAGAAAGGTTCACTCATATCCTGGGAGTTTGGTGGCCTTGGAGAGCCAGGGCCAAAATCTCAATTGTATCTTAGCTCATGTACATTTCTTGTTGTGATTTCTAAGCTTTAGTTGTTGAA